TCCTCCCTGGACATGACCCCTGCTCCTCTGAGACATCAACCGCCTGAGTACCACGATCCCCAAGAGGGGCCACCTCGGGCCACCCGCTCACCGGGGGGCTGGAAGAGCGTCTCCCAGAGCCGCTCCGTCTCCTCCTCGGACAGGTAGATGGGGAAGGTGGCGCAGTCCAGCAGCAGGTGGCAGGCGGCGGCAAAGGCCTCCCTGCAGGCCTCGCTGGAGCCGCCCAGGTCAGGGACCACCTGGTCCACGGCCCAGTCTCCCTTTGTCTGGCCAGGGCTGCTGGGCAAAGGTGATGGCGGCTCCACATTTTTGGTCTTAAATGGAGACCCTCGAACTGTGAACCAGTCTGAGAGCATCTGCTTAAACTGGGGCACGCTGATGGGCCTGGCGTCCCACGAGTTCTTCCTGCCGCGGGGGCTGGGCTCTGGGCCCCGCGGCTCGCCCCCGTCCCGCTGGCCTGTGGGCTCCGCGGCCCTGCTTTCCTCTCCGGACGCCGTCAGCTGGACCCCAAAGATGTTCTTGTGCGCAAAGTTGTCAATCAGCTCTTGGAGGCAAAAGAATGTCCTCTGCATACTCCCGCCCGTCTTCCAGACGTTGTCTCTTTCCGGGGAGACTCTGGGGACCCGCAGGTGCTCCGAGAGCTCTGGCGACGACGCACTGAGCCCGATCCCGCTGTCCTCAGACTTCAGTGCAGGAAACGAAGCATCTTCATCACCTGCGATTACAGCCTTTGTGTCTAAAATTAGGTCACTGTTTTCACCTTTTACTGGACTCTGCAAAAAATGGAAGTTTATAATGTGCATCTTGTAAGACCAGGGGGTTCGACTATCAGCCGAATTAGGCAAACCGTAAATGTACTCTTCCTGGTTTTAAAATCAGAATTCTCTACACCAAGAGGGACCCCTGTGCACCGTGTATAACACAGTGAAGAGGGCACACAGGCTGGGCAGAGGCGCCGGCCCCAGGAGGGGCAGACAGACCGCCATGCTCTCCGGGTTATTTATTTAGATTCTTCAGCATTTATTATTGCGTAGTTAATGCCCCAACCGGTTTGGCTCA